ATGCTTAGTGCTGATAGCGAAGTACTACAGTCCATTTTTATTCATTATTTGCCACCACTGAGTATATTTCGATTACCCAGTACTCTATGGATTCGCATCCGTAACGATATGCAGAAGTACCTTGTAGAGAAAACTGTCGACAATGTTTCTGTTATTTATTTGTAAGTGTAATAGTTTAAAACGTCGATATGGAAGTTTATTACATCTAAAATTTATGAATTTTCTGTATAGAAGAAAATATTTCAGACTAGTAGAGAACCAAATCTTAGTTGCGAATTAAACAAAAATATTTATTAGTCAATTAAAAAGCACAATTCTATGACAGATATATCGATTTAAAAGTCAGAATCACTAATTCTTATTGTTTATTGTACTATACTTACAAAACAACCATATTTAACTTTTATCAAAAACCATTGAAAAAGTAACTTTTGTATTTAGCTATCATCGGAGTTTTCTAGAACGTGGTTCATTTGGAGGTAATGAGGCAAAAGAAGTCGAACTGATTCGACGTGCTTACTACGCTGGTACCATAGGACATTTCCAGAATCTACACGATCAACCGTTCGAAATCAAATCTCTAAAGCTCATCGAAAAAAATCATGGTAACACATCTCTCTGTGTCGATCGACGCCTTGCGAAGCAATCGCCCTATATGACTAATGTCAAAGGAAAAGGTCCCATTTATAATATGCGACGTATCAATCAGCTATGTATGAATCTTGATAATATTTGCTGTGAACCATGGTTTCTCTATGATTATGATTTTATATCTAGTTATCTTCATTGTTATAAAATAAATGAATTACGAGCCAGTGAATGGTTCTATCCTGAACTTCGATTTCTTCTTACTCAATATGAAGCTTGTTCTTTTGTTCTCGATACATATCCGAAAAATTTTGCCTTTGAACTCTCTTCTCGATTACTTCCTCTTATCGAGATATTACCTGAACTGATCTATAAGCTATTTCAACAATGTCTTAATCATTGCAATCTTCTTATGTTGGAAGACGAAGCGAGATCTTTTCAAGCATGCATGAGTAGATACACAGTTGGCATCGTTTATGCCATTGGTCTTGATCTAGATTCAAGCAATTTATTTGTACTTCTCTCAGAAAAACTTCTCAGTTTTCACCTAAGTGAATATTATTTAGCTGGTAAAGTTAATGAGTATCAGTTACCTCCAAATATTTTCACATCGATTAAATATAGTAATTTTTATGTTTGTCTCTACTCTTCACAATCGCTTCTTGTATTGAAGTGTGCTCAAACACAACAATGCATGTTGCAGTTAACGATAGATGAATTATTGTATATTGATTTTATTCATATCGGTACACTTCTTACCTGTTCTGGAAGCAGTAAATCGATTGATATTTGGAATTGCTCAAAGAAAGTAATGATGGGACAACATGCATACAATGAATCCATATTACAATGTTGCACTCTTAAGATAGATGATGGTGTATTAATCAAAGTTATACTTAAAACCGGTTTAATTCAGTATCTACGTATCAATATCAACGAACATGATGAAAATAATCGAATATGCTTTATACCTATTGCTACTCTGCAAGAAAAACCTAGAAATGAAAGTATTCTCTTTAACCATGAGACCGATGTGTTTTATTCAGAAGGTCAATCCTGCATTTATCTTTATCATTTCGAACGCTTTGCAAATGATTGTTTCGAAAAACTTGAAAATTTACCTCCTCTTAATCGAATTGTTTATCGCCATCATTGCATTTCTGAAGAGACAACGTATAATGCTGCACTCATATGGCTCACAGAAGAATCTTTGGTAATTTTTCATTCGTGTGGTGATCATTTTATAATTTCTGGTAAATATGACGAAGTGTGTAGAACACCTAGTAAATCTGGTTCGGATTTTATTTGTTGTCTCAATCGAAATACATCAAATATTAGTATTTTCGAATGGAAATGTGAGAAAAGGATTCATAGGTACCGTCTACTTGCTCATATTCAAGTTGATGAACACATATCTGATTGTGTATGTAACATTGGTGAGTATTTTTTCCAATAAAAAAATTTTATAAATATATTCTTATTGAAAGATGATGAAAGTGGAATAACCGTCTATTGTACATTAGAAAACGGTGAATTACGTAAATACTATGCTACAATTATGGCTTACTTACTCGAATACTCAAACACTCATTTAATAGATCCAATGGTTCAAGAGCAAATCTGCCATTTACAAATTCACGATGAATTCGTTGTGACACTAGACGAAACAAAAAGGTAAGGAATATTAATAACTTTATAATGCTTTTTATCGAAAAATCTAATATGTTGCAGCATTCTCAAGCTGTTTACATTTGCTGAACATCTGTCTTTTAACATGAAACTGCATATTTCAAATACAATTGTTCAATATACTATTATTCCGCCATATATTCTCATTCTTGACTCCAAAAATATACTCTTCTTATATTCAATTTGTTCTACTCCAAAACTTCTTTTTGAAACGACCGAGTTTCAAAATAATTTCGTCAAAATCCATTCACTTGCACCATTTTTCTTCGTCATTGATAGTCATACACAGCGACTTTTTCAAATTAACACAAGATCTACGCTCAATTTACATTGCATGGCAGATATCAAATTCGAATTTCATTCACTATTAAGTGTTACATTTCCAGACCAATCAACATTGTTTATTCTATCCGATGATTACTCAACAATAGCTATGCATAATTCGAAGAAAAACACGATCAAATATCTTTCAACGCAAGTCAATAAAAACATCAAGATTAAAAAAATCGACTCTCTTTCAAAAGCTCTAGTTTTTCATGATAATAATGACCAAGTTTATTTACAGCGTATTAATAATGATGATAACTCAATTGTCTCTTTAGAACATGCCGATTTTCTTGTAACAAAAGGTAATTGTATCGCTCTACTTAATTATAATTTAAAAAAATTGATTATCTATGACGTCGAAAGACTATTGCGTGGTACTATTCGATTACATACCTTATGTGATACATTATGTTTCTCGGAAGACGGAAAATATCTCTTTGGAATATCTAAAAAAGAATCATTCTTGTACATGTATCAAATTGAAAATGGAAAATGTTTAGAAAAACTATTCATAGAAAATATATCACTGTTCATCCAAGCTACAACAAATCAACTTATATTAAGTTGCAAAAACCAACTAGTGTTAATGTCGTTCAACAGAGAAACTATTCTCTCATTAAAACGGTTAGATATGAATCATTTTATAACATATTTTATCGTTTTTTATCCTTGTTTTAGCGATAATGAAACTCCATCGAAAAATTTTCTATTATTTGACAACGCTGAATGGATCTCTTGCCATGAAGATGAACATTGGACATTGGCAAATTCTAGTTATGTGAACAACATATAGTAGATAGAAACATTTATATTACGAACCATGCCTTGCACTTAAACAATATATCAGAATTTTTGCTTTTATATATCTGTATTAATACAATAAAAACTTGCATTAAAAAGAGAAGATCATTTGGTAACGGCTTTCTGTTAGTTCCACGAAGAGAATTCGTGACAATAATTGTCGCTCGAACACAGAGATTTTTCTCAATATTTTCTATAAAAAATAGAATAGTCTCTTCGTAAACTTTAAAAATAAATCATAGACGCATTAAGAAGAAGTCAATTTATTGACGAATCTAGGATGTCGATAAGACGTAGGCAGTATCGATTAAAAAACACTTTTTAAAGTCCATTCGAGGTGGGATAAGTCGGCTTCTTATTCGTTCCAGTCTAGGATCAGATTCGTTCAATATTTCCTATAAATTCTACATCTTGGCCGATCCTATATTTTGTTCTATATTTCGGTTGAGTTTCCTTTTCTTACCTACATTTTGCCTAAAAAAAGGGCATGGATATGCATGGTTGGGGAGCGGCTGGCGAGTATGTGAGTGTATATGTAGAGTGCAGGTATGAGTGTGGATGCCAGTATGCACGTACGTGTCAGTATGGTCGTGGGTGTTGATGAAGGTTAAAAGACGACCCACAGCGCACTCACACACCCACATCCTCCAAAGGAGACCTAGGGTGTGGTTGTAAGTATGAGGTGTATATGTGGTTAGATGCGAGTGTGGGTGAACAGACAAAAGAATATCCCCATTCATACACCCACACCAACGTCCACATCCGATCATTGTTGGAATCGGTAACATAGAGATTACCATATCTATCGAATGAGGGTGTAAGGTGGGTGTGGGTGTGGGTGTGGGTATGGGTGTGGGTGTGTGGGTGTGGGTGTGTGGGTGTGGGTGTGTGGGTGTGGATGTGGGATGTGGGATGTGGGATGTGGGATGTGGATGTGGGATGTGGGATGTGGGATGTGGGATGTGGGTGCGGGCTTGGGTGTGAGTGTAGGGTGTGAGTGTTGGTGGGTGTGTGGGTGGCTGTGTGGGTGGCTGTGTGGGTGTGGGTGGGTTTGGTGTGTGGGTGTTGAAGTAGTTAATGTCACAGACACACCCACACCCACACCCACACCCACACCCACACCCACACCCACACCCACACCCCCCCCCACACCCACACCCACAACCACAACCACACCCACACCCCACCCCACC